ACCCATGTGCAAAATATTTCCTAACTATCTTAAGTATGTACAATAGACTGTCCTACATGATCATTTCTACACATGCAAGAACTGTTCCTATTGATTGTCTTACTCTTGTAAAATTGATTAAGTTTGCAGCAGGAACTGTCTGTGAATATCTGGGACAGCCAGATTCTTTGCCCAGGATGTTAATCGACATGCTTAAGCATACAAATTGGTCTAGGCACAGCAGGGTCTGCCTGGGAAATCTCAAGAACTGACTGAAATTCCCACCAGGACCACTCCTGTAACAAGCTGTCAAATACTTCTTGTGCCAGCAGTTCCATCAGTCACCTAGTTTCAACTTGGGCTGTCTCAAACCAGTCCTTTATCTCATCCATACAGACAACAAGCCTGGGAGCTCCTGGACCACTGTGGGAATTTAAGTGCACTAGGGGTGCACACAGGCACAGCCCTGAGAACCAACTACACTACAATCATAATTAAAAAATTAAATTTTATTTTTCTGCTTAAGTCTCATAGTCCTTGCCCATTAGCTCAGTTGGCCAAAGCATGGTGCTAATAACACCAAGGTCATGGGTTCAATCTCTATAGGGACCCTTCACTTAAGAGCTGGACTTGATGCTTGTGGGTCCCTTCTAACTCAGAGTATTTTGTGATGTCTGTCTAAATGATGTCATTATCTGACCTAGTGAACTGTCTTCAAAGTTCAGATGAAAGTGGCTAAGAAGTAACTTATCTCATACTGCAGTGAATGCCCAAAGATAGGTGATCCTTATGCCATACACTACCTGAGTTTGGTTGTGTTGGATCAGACCACTGATTTTGACTGAGTGTGCAGATGTCAACATTTCTGATAGGAAATCACCTAATGCAGCACTGGTACTCAGATTTGTGTTTACTGGGAACAGTAAAAGCTGGAATATTGTCCCTATAAATACCTTTCAGATCAAATGTTCATCTACTACAAAAAGCTATTCACCATCCCTTCAAGTTCATAAATCAATTGCAGCACATGTGGGCTAAACTATTTAAAGGAGATGGCTTTTCTGCTCTATCAGTGATTAAAAGACTGTGTATATGGGCCATTTATTCACAGCAAAGCAGGCAACTGCTCATTCCACATTCTGCCTTCTTCGGTTCACCTGATGTTGTCATCAGAGTGTCAGGCAACATCTGGGAAACAAACTCACCTCATCTGTATTACACCCATCACATACAGTACTGTCTTATCAGCTGCTCCTTCTGCTCTGGGACAGTGCAAATCACAATGGATTCAATACCTGTATTTCCCTGTGAGTGAACTGACACGAGATTCCATGTTTAACAATGAAGTGCAGAAGCCAAGTGCCCAAGCTGCACACCTTCAATAGTTTGTTCTGGAGTTTCTTCATGTAAGACTGAACTGAAAAAACCACAAAACCCTGCAGCCTGATATTTGCAAATCACAGATAGATGATGTTTCACAAGTATTTTTTTTCTTTTATTTAATCCTCAAAGAAGACCATTTTCAGTTTCCAGTTATTTTGTGGGATGCATTGCTGTAATAGAAACATCTATACATTAGGACAAAGCTGACTAACACAACTGAAGTGATCATATAAAGTGAATTTACATTGCCAAGTAACTTTCCAGTTTGCAGTCACAGCCATATGTGACCACGTAAATTTGGAAGAGTTATGTGTGGGCCATACTGAGTAGAGCAAGAATGAAGTATGTAGCTGTGGAATATTTCAATTAGTGGCACCATTATCAGCAGCCCACACTTCAAGTACGCTTATTGCTGATTACTGACTGCACGTAGCAAGTTCAGTTAATGGGAGAGAGTTCCAAATCCAAACAGCAAGTAAGTTGAGGGAGAAGTTTTAAGTACCCATCTATCTCCCTTGAGGTTATTGGCAAGGCAGTGAGGACACAGGCCAAGTGACGTTGGAGAAGGCTACAAGAGTCTTAGTAGAACTGGATGTTAAAATCTTCAAACTAACTGGTTTAAAGAAATACATCTGCTATCTCAATTGTGTCTGACCCTTTTCCTGGAAATGCTGTTATTTTGGCTCAGCTCCACAGTTAAGTCTCCTCCTCTTCTATCCCATCCCTTATCATGTACCCCAAGCAAAGATATACCTTTCCCTGGCCATTCTTTCCTGTGCTCCATCCCTCTTCCAAGCAGGCTGCTGGTAGTTTGGCAGCATCTGCTTCTAGGGAGAGAATGAACCTAGGCTCTTTGTGGTGCAACAGGAATGTGAACAGCTGTGTCACCTTGCAAAAGGAAACATAAGTCTTCTCTAAGTTTTAAAAGGAACACCTGACATGCTTAATTCACAGCAGCAAAGTAGATATGTTAGTTTGCTGGTCTAGAAATTCTGATATAATCTGTGGTACCTTGTCTTCCCTTTCTTTCAGTGAAGTGTCCAGTTTCCCTCTAAAACCTAAGAGAAGACAACAGCCACAGCCAAGACTAATTTTCTATGCCTTTCTTTAGACACTGGTTCCACTAACTCTAAGCTAAACAGCATGTATTTTAAGAGCTGCAGGATATGTTAAGAAACACTGCCAAATACCAAATACTTTAGTCTCCAAATTCTGCCTTTTAAAAAATTAATATGCTACTGGAAACTGTTGCCTGAATTCTAAATAGCTACTTGAAAACAAAAAAGCATCCATACTATTTATGGAGGATCTAATATTATGTGTTCTCTTCCACTATTTGAGCAGGAACAAGAGCAGAACTGCCAAATACCAAATACTTTAGTCTCCAAATTCTGCCTTTTAAAAAATTAATATGCTACTGGAAACTGTTGCCTGAATTTTAAATAGCTACTTGAAAACAAAAAAGCATCCATACTATTTATGGAGGATCTAATATGTGTTCTCTTCCACTATTTGAGCAGAAACAAGAGCAGAAGGACTTTTCCCAGGACTTAAGGGCTTAATCTCACATGCCAGCTCCTGATGCATTAGAAGGAAGAGGCTGGAAGCTCATACACATCCAATGGGAAAAAAAACAAACATGAAATGAAATGTTTTCTGCAGCAGCTAAAACGTGTTCCAAAACAACTGAACACTGGTGAATGAAAGCTAAGCAGAAAGTTCTCATGCCATTACTCAGTTTAAATCCTTTTAAATTGGAGAAATTGCTATTGATTGCAGGTTTAAAAAAGAACTGTGGAAGGTCATTTAAACTGAAACATAGTACATACTGTAACAGTGAATCCACAGATCATTTCAGAGAAAGACAGGCTTTCTAGTAAACATCCAGCATCAGCTCTATGTTTTCTTAACACCAGACAGCATAATACAGCTCCCAAGAGTGCAGGTGAAATACATGAACCCAAACCAATCATTAAATCCTCTCTAGGGGCTACATAAGAAACAAATGAGATGAGCTCCTACAGCTGTCTGTAAACAGCTCCTCTGTCGTCTTTGCTAAAACCTGCAGAATGATCTGGATATGAGCCAGCATCATTCTCGGCTTTTTAAAACCCTGTTTACAGTTATAACTCTTTGCTCTCCTATGGCAGTCTCTGTCACATTCTCCCATGCTCAGTACTGTATACTGTGTTTTTTTGGACACTGAAATCAGAGAAATCGCTTGATATGGAGAATGATGAGCTCTGACCAAGAGGGGCAAACCTGGAAAGACCTACTTATGCATCAATACCTGCATCCAGCTAGAAAGGGGTCATCAAACTAAAGCCTGTGAGTTACCTGCAACATAGTCTAGTGTTGATTTAGGTCATCAATCATATAAAAAATTAAGGCTGAGTGAAGAGGAAAGGACAAAACAGTTTAGCTCTGTAGTCTCTTATCTACTCAGTGTTTTGCCTATAAATCAGAAATTTGAGGATCACAAGTAAGCTCTCTTGGTTATTATTTACTTAACTAGATTGGACCATACCCAAATGACCAGAAGGAAAACACTAAGAAGTCTGTCTTTGCCAGCTGAGAGGCTAATTAAAAACCCTACAATTTGCAGAAAAGCACATGTAACATAGACACGTACAAGACTGATAGGAAAAAACCTCCTCCGTGCTATAAAGTTATAAAGAACAGAAGGAAGATCTCTGGCTAATTAGGTTAATATCAGCTTATGGCTTTATGTAGAAGAACCAATGAAAAATAAAAACAGAAACAAAGTATTTTTCTCAAGAATCACTTTTTTCCCTTTTCCATCTCTTTCTAAAGCTTTCTGTATTCAATATTTCACTAAGTGTGTCCTTTGAATTTCCCCCTTAACAAGTACAGCAATTTGCTAAATTTTGGTTTTCTTCCTTGTTTCAGGGTCCCGTTCAAAACAGTCTGGTAACTCATACAAATGGTTGCCACCAACTTCAAATGCTGAAGTCTGAATGTTTCATTCTACCTCCACAGGTAAAAAAACATACAGCTCAAAATCAATGTTGTGCCTCCATGTTCTGATTTAAACTTTTTAAGTACGAAAAGATAATTACTTTGAGCAAGTGATTCCCCACCCCCCCCTTGTTGATTGAACTCTTTTCATAATCACTCCTTTTGGAAGGGCATCCAGATAAAAAAGGTAGCTATTGTACTAATGCTACCTTGTCGAAATGTGAGTAGTTAGGGTTTCACACACCTGTGCTTGAGGAATGCAGGGTAGCTGAGTGTTTCCAGTAACAGACTTGGGTTTATTGAGCAAGATACTTAAGATTCCACCATTTCTACTAGGAAGAACTATCCTTAAAAAAACATAGTGTGATCAGATGGACAGCCAGAATCCTCTCGCTAGCAGGTAAAATTCTAAGCTGTTAGACAAAACATTTCAATAGCTGCTCTCATTCCAGAGAAACTGCACTGATTTCAGCCACTTAGCATCTTACCAGTTACGTGTAATCGGGGTTACAATCACGTCAGTTAGAATTAGTTGTCATCAGGGAGAATATTTTTAGGCAGTCATAACCCTGCAATTCACCAGTCAAGGGAGATGAGGAATAAACAGGTGACATCAAATCAGAAGTGTATGACTGACACCTGTGTCTGCGTGTCTTTACCTTGAGCTCATCTGCATCATAGAAGTCTATGCGCACAGCAGGGACCATCCATGTCTGGAACAGAGTTGCCAGGATCTGTTTGGCAATTGCATCTGCGATGAGGTGGAAGTGGAGTGGGTTTCGCCTGATATGAGAAGGGAGAGAAACGCATTAGTTCAAAGGTTTCTAATTCCTGTTCTTAAAGGACAACATCAAAATTTAGAAAGCTTTATCTGTGCTTTTCTACAATGTTGAGTTTTGAGGATGCAACATGTCTGGTGGAGTCTGCTCTGTGGCCAAAATGCTGAGACACAATTTGAATACACATGACCACAATACAATACTCAGTTTCTGGATGGCTATGAACATACATATCCTTTGACTCCAGTGGAATGGGTGATTTATAACACCTAAGAGTCTTGTCTCGTGCACCAGCTTGTTAAAAAAAGGCCAAGTTAATATACCTTTGGAGACTTGAGCTTTGGAAATCATTGTTTCAGTTTCTAGGTGAACCTGGTAATTTATCTTTGTGGTAAGAAGACTGTCTTAGGTTAAACATAACAATTTGGATGAGGTGAAATTCTGGGACCCTTGAGTTTACATAGAAGTTTTCTACAAAGCCATTTTGGGGAACCAACAACTGTCCCATAGGAACCCAAAATTAGATGTTTCAGGTGAGTGCCTTCTAGCTATTCACTGGCATAGTAAACAAAATGGAGACTGCAAGTCTCACCACTTCCCTTTTCCTAAGGGTTAAAGAAAAGTAGGAGGAAAGGAAACATTTTACTTCAAAACAGCAGATCTGGGTTCACCTCTGTAATTACAGGACTTGGGCTAACTGAAAAGCTTCAAAACAAGACAGGTGAAGCCAGTATCAGCAAGAGTGAAAAGCTCTGACAAAGCATATGGGTTTCTCTATACTAATGTGAACTTAGACATTATAAATACCTTGTTTAATTCCCTTAACCTCCCTCCCTTTTTGGGGGACAGTAGGCAACAAAATTTGATCTTAATTTCTGTGGTAGGAAACCTACCAGTGGAAGTTAGTCACAAATTGTAGTCTTCCATGTTTGCCTCTAGCTTAGCAACTTTCTCTGTCAGCAGAAAAGGACAGACTTTTGAAAAAACTACTAAGAAGAAAAATGCCTTGTTTAGACTTCAGCACGGGATCAACCTTTCTTTGATCCCTAGAGTGGAATAGTGGATTATCATTTCTATGGAATTTGTAAAGCTAAATGAGTGTACTTGTTAATTGGTATTTTTCATCTAACAAGAGAAGTATTTAGTTTCAGAAGTTGATTAAAGCGGAAGACAAGTGATGCTACTACATTCTTCAGTGTGAATGAGAAGTGAGGAGAACTATGTTAGTTCAGGCCAATACATTTCCATTACATTTTTGGGCTTAACCCAAAAAATGAAGGTTATTTTTTTCTCCATTAATGAAAAATGTGTGCCTTCCTTTTAATGCTTCTCTTCTTGCTTTGATGAGTAATATTGCCTCCCACTGAACAAAGTCCACAGGGAAACATAAAAATATGTATAATTTTCATAGTATTTTAACAAACCCCTCAGCAGAAAGAGGAGATTTTTGTGAGAAGCAATGTAGGACTGGATTTTGCAGACCCAACCCAGCACTTGGGGCTGCCAGTGAAGGTGCTGTATTGGCTTCAAGGATGCTGTGGATCACATTACATGCTTACAGTAAAAGCAGAAAAGGGCTGGGTATAAGCCTTATATATGAGATAATCATGATGGCAGAACAAACCCACAGCTGATCTGCCTTAAACGATATCCAAAACACTAAAGCACCACATACTTTTCAAAAGACAAAGGTCTTTCAATCGCTAGCTTGTCCTGGAGGGAGGAGGGGAGAGGGAAAGGCACAAGCTGCCAGTTGCTGAGTGTCCCATTACCAAGCTAAAGGGATCACAGCAATTACATTTGCTTCACCAGCCCAGCAGGAGAGTAGAAGAGGACATCCTGGCTCATGCGGATTCCGCAGTAACCAGGCACCTTGCCAAGAAAAAAATCAGGAAATAGCAGTGATCAGGAAATACATCTCATTAGTAGAGACAAGGCCAAGAGAAACAAAGTACAACACCGATGGCTTTGGGTACAGGCAAAGCAGTATCTCAAGACAAATAAATGTTCAATATCAACATACACATCCCACAGAGCTCCCTCTGCTAAGGAGGGGCTGAGTCTGGATTCAAGTAGGACTATTTCCCAGCCAGTGTTCTTCAGTAATTTCCTTTCCTTTTTTTATTCTGGGGTTACTTATCTTATATTGTAAAGTAGAATAAGAGTAAAAAATCAGTTAAAAAAAAGCTCCATCTTTCTTCCAAGTGATCATTTAAATGTAATTTATATAAAATATATCAAGATGAAACACACTAGTTGAAAAGAAAAAATCTGATACAAAGACACTCAGATGTTCAGTAGCAGTTTATACTTATCTGAATGACCCAGAGTGTATGAAACTTATATGGGAACAAGTGGGTGACATTTACTTTAGTTCATCTCCTACTGGGAGAAAGAAAAAAGGATAGCTGTACTCCCACACAGAAATCTCTTTCAAGTTGCTAGCCTCATGGTAAAGATTCAGCTGGAAGGAAAGTGTGTGTCAGAGGCAAAGCAAAAGATTATCACTTACAAAAATATATCCCCAAAACAGGATAGTGACCTGATGACATCTACAACTAAATGTGCATCAGCCACGGATAATTTTACTCCAGAGATTTCAGTTCTGTGAAATGTGAGGTTTGGCATGGTGCTGGAAGCCAACAGTGCACAGCCTCAGAGCTGGAAGACCCTCTGAAGGTAACTATACTAGCATACACACAGATGACATCTTTCACCTCTTCTGCTGTCTGCAATATGCGAAGCCTTAAAGATATGGATTGCTTCAAAGTGTTTAAGAAACAAGTTTTCAGAAGCTTGAAGATCAACCAACATTCATTATAAAAGATACAGAAGAGATTCTGCAAGATGAGAAATCTTTCTCAAGAGATACATGAAAGGGATGTCATGACTATCTGACAATATGATTGAATCACTGGCTACAAGAATTGGGGATGGCAATCAGGATATTGTGAAGGATTCCATTGAAAGCTGAATTTCATTAAACTTGAACATTTTGCTCATTTTCCACTGGGCACATCAAGAGAATAAAAAAACACACACAAAGTCTGGTTGTGTCTTGTACTGATAGAAATCACTGTACTGTAATGGGGACAGTATATTCAACTATGGAATAACATGGGTCAATTATGGCAACTGATAAACTTCTCCCACAAAACTAATAGGTTTCGGAAAATCCCCAGTATTCATGTGAATTAATCTGTTTGGGAATAAATGTTTCTAGCATCCCAGGTTTCAGAACTCTGAGCCCCAAGTCTTCCAGATTCCTTACTGCAGAAGCAGGTATTGAAACAGCCATAGAATTTCTCACAAGGTCCAGAAACACTTATTTACTTCAATGATTTTGAACATTTGAATTTCTACCAACATAACTTTTCACAGTTTCTGCTACATGGAAAGTGCTGATGCATTAATGTCTTAACATGGTCAAATGTAGTGCCAAAATATGGCTATTTCTCATCAAGTGGAAACTTAAGGTTCGAAGTACTCTGTTCAGAAAACTGCAAATCTTCCTATATTAACTTATTTCCACTTATCTTAAAATGAGAACTATCTGACAAAGTAAACCATATGTAAAGAGCACACATTTATTTTCCTAAATTACTTTCCTCAAAAGTGAACAAAGGGAGATTCTAGCCAAGATTTTCAAGCATGGATGCTTAAATATAGGCTCTTAGACCTAAATATAGGAGTTTGAATGAATGCCCTCATTTTCAAAATTGCTGAGGTCCTATAAAGTTATGAAAATGAAAAGAAGTCAATTTTTTAAGTCAGGCCATGAATTTAGAAGTCTATTCCAAGGTACCCATTTCTCTACATTTCTTCTTATCATGATGTCTTATTCTTGCATTTTAAAACTTCTTATTCTTCATCAGATTTATGATCTGCTTGCTCAAGCATTTATGGCCCTTTCTTTTCAAATAGCCACTGTCACCGACTTAAATACAAAAATCTACAATTGAAAAAGGGAGTAGTGAACCAAGGCTCACTCTTCCCTTCTGCACTATTCCATAGGCCAACTGTTAGTAATTCAAAAGGCAACTCCTTGTCTGCTTGGTTACACAGCTCTCTCCCTGCAACAGAGGAATTTTATTTTCTAAGAATATAAAAAGCTCAGTAGCCCAATGGGTTTATTTCCAAAACCTATGTTTTATTAAGGGAAGCACAACAGGTAGTACCTTTTATATCTGTAACAAATGGTTACAAGAAATTCAAACAGAAATTATAAATTCAGTTTGGGAAACTTTTTCTCCTAATGCCCTGTGACAATCCCTCTTTCATATGAGAAAACATTTTAATGAAAAATCTTCAAGATGTTTTTATACCACTTCACACCCAGTATTGGTGAAAATACTCCCCAAACTATTGGAAAAAGTCTAAATACACACTTGCTGCATCACTCATGGATCTTCTTGTTTTGTATTTACTTACAGAATTTCTTTGGGAAGTACTAAGAGTAAATCATGGGCAGAATTTTTTTAAACATTACTTTCTCCATTATGCCTCTATTGTTAGGACAGCTAGAAAAAACAAAAAAGTGTGTATTATTGATGCATTTATATGCATCAGAGAAATCAGGTCACGCTTTAGGCTTTTTGCCAGAATAACTTCCCACAAAATAGACTGACACATTAGAAAAGTTGGAAACACTGTCAGAGGTTTTGAATTCTCAAATTAACTCCATTAAGTCAAAGCGGTCTCAATGGAATATAGCCATTAGATTATATAAGCTTTAATTACCAGCCAGTGTTGACTTGTGACTTTTACTTGGAAATTACATGTCATCCTTTTAATTTAATTTAGATTTTAATTTGCTTTCCCTTATTCTACTTGTTCTAAAAAAAAAAAAAAAAAAAAAGATTTCATTATTCATACAGCATTCTGGAACACAGCTTCATATCCTGTTCTTAAAAATGCTCAGACATACACTTAACTTTAAGGTTACAAGCAGCCTTCTTAAAGCAAAGAGACAACTTCCTATTAAAAAGCATTTGTCTGGTTGTCTGGTTTTGTTTACATTCCTTGCAAAGCTCCCATATTCCTATGTCACTATTGCTGTGGCATAAATGGAGAGTACAGCTAAAGAAGTAAATGCAGAGACTCCCACGAAGAAGAGGGACTGACATAGTGGGGAAAAACCAAAAAACCAACAGAGCACTTGCTGGCACAAAAGAGAAGTTAATTGTTTACAGATTGTCAGGCTGACCTAACTGCCAGAAACATGTTATAATTGTATAAGTTTTCTTCCAGTTTTTTTGTTTCCAAATGAAACACAGTGTTAGGCATGTCTTCAAAAAAGGGCACAATTAAAAACCATTTTAGCTCTTACTCAAGTTAAGACTTACCTGAACAGAGAAAGAAATTATCTTTTTAATATGTAACTAGGATTGTGGGCTGTCTCTGTAGCACTCTAAGGTTTGCAATTTTCAGAAATGGAGTAAAACATTGAAAAATCACCAACGTAACTTGGACCAATAGTTGTAAAATATTCAAGGAACGTTATCAGCCACAGGAAACTGCTTCAATTTTGAAAAAGAAATGCAGGTGCTTTTTACCTTACCACTATAATCACTGGTTCCAAAAGCATTTGCACTTCATTCTGCTTATTTGACCCAATATAATAAATTTTTAGTGTTTAGTCTTTTGGTTTGGAACAATTAAAGTGAGGCTGCTCTTAGGACATGGTGATATGAGATTGGCTTGTGTTAAACTCAGAGATAATTTTTTTAGCCCTGCAATGGCTTTACAAAATCTGTCATAATTGGGAAGTGGATGTGCAAGAAAGGAAAGCAGGGAAGTTGCAGAGTAGGACTGCGTACTCATTCTACAAGCCTCCCTCTGTGCAGCGCTGCCAATGCATATTTATCAGACTGCAAACCCTGCACTATCCCAGCTCTGCTGAGTCTCCTCCTGAGAACAGACTGTCAGTTATGCCAAACGGGGTGTTAAAAGCTGCTGGATTTTGTGGCTGGAGCATACGTTTTTGGAAGACAAAACTGGAATCAAGCTCCTTTATCACTGGGAATGAAACACATTTCTGAACTATGGAGTTCTTATGTGGCATCAATCACAGTACCCCTTTCCTCTCCTTTTCCCTCTCTCTGGAACCTGAAGACAGATATGGTTTCTCAAATGGTCTGAACAAGTAGCTTGCCTAAGTCTCATAATATACATGGTATGACTCAAATCTTCGTGTTTTAGGCCTGTGGAGAGCTGAAATGTTCAATATGCAGGATTTGCTGTACATTCATGCAAGAGAGAAGAGACAGCACACTCTATCTATAGAAAATCCTGTAGCTTTTATCCTTAATGACCCAGCACTCCTGCTGTTTTGTGTCTCTATCCAGCACTCTAGCTAAAGTTGGGGGTATAATAAATATGTTAATGCTCCCTGGGATTAGACTGATATGGCCTCCTTTTCTCAGAGCTTTCCTATTAGAGAAGTAGGGATTTCCTATGGAAGTAGGCAATTTAGGTATATAGTTTTGTATCAAAAGGCATGCTAAAACATGCCTTAATTACTAGCCTGTACAGAAATGCCAAAAGAAGGACATAACATCTTCACGAATTCCACACTGAAATCAGTGTCTTACAACAAACACCAACTGAGGTGCAGGAGGACAGGTGAGGATATTAACCCTGGCTGCTTTGAGAGGTCAGTTGTTTAATCAGTAGATTGAATTCAGGGTGTGTTGAAGGAAAAACAAAATCTCTATGACAATAAGTTTGGCAGCATATATTTTTTGTTCTTGCAAAACTTATATCTATATTTGAGATTGAATGTGGTGATACTGCAAATGAAGGATCAGTAGCCTTAGAGATTAGGATGGCTAAATTCTTGTTAAGCAAACTTCTCCATTGGAAGCATACAGACCTTTCAAACAATGGCTTCTTGGACAATAACAGCTAAAATGCACTCTCTGGTGCATATTTAGGGTTAGAAGAAGAGACATCTCCATGCCTGTTTTCACTGAGGACCCTCAAGTCAGAGGTAAACTTGAAGCATTGACTATCTGAACCAACCACTTCCAACTCGCCTAACTCAATCCTCCTAAATGCACTATTATGACCTGTCTCCATCCTTCACTCCTACAATTAAATAGATCATAGCAACTAAAAGAAGCCTTTCCAACCATCACCATTTCTGAAGTGCACAGTGGTCTCCAAAATAACACTGTTTGCACGTGGAAACCAGTGTAAGGAAACTTAGTTCTACATCATTATTCAGCTTGTTGTTTCTTTTTGCCTATTCTGCATTGTTCTACACAACTGCCATTCTGAAGATAAAGATGCATGAAAAGAGTGCTACTGAAGCATGGCCATGGAGCCATAGCATCAACTGATGCTTAAGAAGTCTGTATTTTCTAGAAGATAAGAAAGAAATGTCTGTAAGAAGCTCTGTCTCTTTTCTGAGAATACCCTTCTCTTTCTAGCAAACAATTTAATACCTAGTGAGAAATGCTAGTTCTTGGCAGGAACCGACTTAGATTTGTCTTTAAGTATGTTCTGAGCAAACAAGGGAGATAGGTTATCTGGAATGTTCTCAGGCTTCATTAGCTATACTGGACTTTATCTTGACCACCTCTGCTGAGCTCAACAAATCCTTTGAGAGGAGCAGCAGTGCAGGCAAAACAACAATATGTTATTGACAGAGGCAGAATCCATCAGACTTACAAATACTAATATTAATTACCTTTTTTTGGTTTAATATTTTATTATTATTTAACCATTTAATTATGTGGCAGTATTCTTTATAAATTTGCACAGAAGAGTGCCTTAAGTAAAACAGGGACATTTCCCTTAAAGAGCACAGAGAGAGGTTGTTTAAACCTTTGAGCTGTGAGACGCCTATTATTTACTGAACATTTGGAAACAGAGATATTAAAGTCTTCTCAAATTGGATGAAAGTACTAGGATAGAAAAACAGGGAGAAGCTAACCACTAGAAAAATATGTCACCACAAAAATATGCTTTTCCATTAAATTCCTTAGAAAAAATAATTTAAAAATTATAAAACCTCCCCACATCCTTGCAATATAAACCCAGTTTACAATGAGCAATTCAAACTTCTAATTGGAAACACCTACAGTTTTACCATTTACCAGAATTTCAACGTTCAGTAAAATCCTCTACAGAGAATGACATGGATATTTACTGATTTTTTGTGTTTTTTTATGTTTCTTCTAGTATTGTTCTTCTGGTCCTACCCCTCATCTAACAAACATGCTACTTCTCAAAAGACTGTGTTGATAATGGAAACTGCTCTCCTATTTTGATTAAACAGTACTTATGGAGTACTTTTTCATAGTGGACAAGGTGAGCATTTATATTCTTTTAGGAAGCTTATCAAAAATGATAAAATGGTGTATTAAAACCATTGTCAGGGAGTGACTACTATGGCTTTCAGCAGGAGACTGGAGGCAAACATAAGGAGCAAAGTGTGGGACTGGAATGTCCCACTCATGCTTGCTGCAAGAAGATATTACCACATGACATGAACCCTTGCACAAAATTGTCCTTCAAAGAAAGCAGCATACTGAAACTACCTCCTTAATAAGTTGTTTGTACTGTAAGCATATTTTACTAGTCTATTTATCCTGTTTGAGTCAAACAGTCTGATCACTTCCCTGATTTTAATCCACTTTCAGCAACATAATTGGAAAGCATCTCCGAGAGACATTTCTAAACTGGACAATGGATACACATGTACGCCCATACATAGTTTAATATGAATTTGTTTTTTCTGGAGCTGATGTCTGTTAAGGTAGTTAGTTATTTTGTTTTCATTGTATATTTATGCCTCTCAACTTTGGAAGCTAACCGTGCTAAAACCAAGTTGCAAAAACTTCTGAGGGGTTGTAAGCAGACATTCCAAAGTCAGAACAAACCACCTGAATTTAATGGAATAATGTATATACTGACTGTGAGAGTAGGTTTACTCCAAAAACAAATGTCAAAATTGGAAGCTGGGATAGTCAAGCAACCAGTGTGAATTTATCATCTACAGCTGTGCCATAAACTCATACCAGAAATAGGCTAAATTAATACAACACTGTTATTACCATTATCATTATTTTACAGCATTCAGGAGCATGCAGATGCTTTACAGTGAAGATAGATACTGTCCCTATTCCCACAATGCAACAGGGGTAGCAGGTGGATCTCTGATCCCTCTTATTCCCTGTAGAAATCTCCACACAGGTGAAATCTATTTGAGATGGTCATGAATTAAATGCATCATTCCTTAAAAAGAGAAAGGAATCAGGGAAGGGAATCTGACCTTCTTTTGAAGTAAGATAGTAAACCTAGAAAAAGCTCAGTCATAATCAGATATACAACATACAGGAAAAGAAAGCTACCTTTACCTGTGAAATAAGACAGACTTGACAAGCGTGACAACATCCCGACTGGCATTGTACCCTGCACAGACAATGGCAACGTGGATAGTCTGTGGAGAAAAGGAACAAAAAGAACAAAAATTAAAGGCTGCTCCTGCGCTCATCACTTGCTAAGGAGAGCACACACATGACACTGCTGTTGTTTAGTGCTGCAATTGTTAGGGATTTGAGTGGGTGTTTTGCAGCTGTTTGCAACCCACTTGAGGCAGTTTGCTAAAAACATCTTGATTGAGTTATAGCACCATCATCATTCCAAAGTCATTACTATCCCTACATTATATCAGAAGCTTCAACAGAATTGCATTTATTAGCCAAGACATACACATGCATGTATGTACACACACCCTCCCCAAGTAAGCAGCACACAAAATCCTGAGTGTGCAAACATACAGACATTTTTAATTTTCCAAACTAAAGTTTAAAATTATATCTGATAATTAGAAGCAGATATTATCTCAGAAATTCTGTATTACTTTTGTCTTATGCACAGCTCCTATGGAGAGGGTGAGCAAGCTCTCATGGATGAATATGACTGTGACTATTGGTTTGCCAGGGCTGGATGCATCCCAGTGATGTGATGGGACACAGGCTGTGACAGCAAGAGGCCACCTCCCTGCCCATGACTACCAGCATGGGCTGTTCTGGCAGCGTTAATGTGAAGTTAAACACAACCCCCACCAAGACATTCTCTCCACCTCATGACACTGGCAAATTATCACTTATTCTGTGCCTTTTTACCTCCCTTTTAACATGAGGCAGAGGTTTCCTCATCTCTTCAGGAGGAAAGGGAAAATTGAAAAGGCGCTACGAGTCATTATTTAGGCAGTAAGTACTAATCTAAAAAATGCTATTACGTTATTCTGCTCTGCTTTTAAAAAGTAGCCATTTCTGCTCCCTAGGGACACCAAAAAAAAAAAAAAAAATTAATCCTAGCAAGTTTTGACTCCAGGTTCTGTGATCTTCTGTTTCTTAGTGGTCACAGAAATGAAGCGGAGTTCACCATGCTGTCAGCACAAAGCTGCCATTGGGGACACAGCTGTGAAACTGCAGGGAAGCCTCATTTGGCTTCCATTTGAAGCTTGGTTAGCTGGTTTCTCACACACACAGCTCTCATTTTCCACAGAATGCCCACTATGCTGAGAACAAATGAGGAATTCTGTCTCCTCACATAGTCACAGGTTTCCAAAGCCTGGCTTGTAACAGAAGCACATTTACACAAGAAGTGCCATGTGATGGGCATATCTGAAGAGCCCACAGCCCCATCCATTAAGATCGCCTGGTACAAGGCACAACTTGAATCATACAAGTGCCAAGTGGCTGTGTCACCATAGAACATCTACATGAACATCACAGCTGCCTCCAGCCCTGCTGTGCTTCACAAGCTCAGCATGTTTAAGATCTGATGTTTTAAGAGGACTTGAATTAATAAGACAACTGTCTGTCCAGAGAGGTGTGAGAAAGAAAAGATATTGCAGTACATTTTGGCAACAGGTCTGTGAGGTATTAGCACTTTAAATTTATGTTAAAGTCAATGGGAGCTGAGCATGCTCAACACTTGGCAAAAATCAACTGTGTTTCTGTCTTGTGATAAGAGGGGAGAACAGAGACTGGTTATTAATGATTTTTATTACAGCAGGAGTCTGTACTGTACTCGTCAGCATGGGTTGCTGTGGGTGCACTGATTCCTGATCCTACACGTACTGCCTCCCCTCCCATTGTCACCTGGTCCCCCTCCCAGGCTTGTGGAAGACCTAAGATCCTTCCCCTCAGTGCCAATTAAAATCAAATTAACTGAGAACAGTTTCACCCTTGCTTTAAACATTTCACCTGAAGGCACTAGACCAGAAACAAACATTTTAGGGGTTTCCACAGAATAGCACTGTCATATACTGTCAGCATTGTTTTTTACCACCTACACTTGCCAGAAAAGCTCTCCTCAAAACCACTCTACCTTACAACTGTCCTCCAAATCAGAGTTTATTCTGTCAAGTTTTTGCCCACATGTTCCCCTTTTACTAAATCAGTTTGTTTCAAAATTGAAAGCATGCATTCCTCACTGTCTTCTAGCAGCTGCTGTTGCTTTGGATGCTGCTTCAGCCAGGACACAGTGAGAGCAGCACTTACTACACTTCTGAATGCTCTCTTCCAGCTCAGAGACACAGGCATCCATGTACCTTCTGCTCAGCCTCTCTGTGCTGTTTGATATTACATATCGCTTCTATTCCTGCCTGCAATCAGTTAAACAAAAGAGCAATAATCCTCAAAGAGAACAGAAATCAAGACCTTTTCTTTTCAAGTTTTCTCCTGCAGCATGCTTCAAGGCTCAGTCTATCCCTCTCCTTTCCCTGATCAACTTTCCTCTCGCTCATTGTTTAACTGTTAAACATCAGTGAAAAAATAGACAAGCCAAATGAAGTTATCAACCTGAACTGTCAGCAGATGTTTGCATCCCAAGGGGAAAAACATTATTTCCAGTTTTCTCCACTCTTGTTCCAAATGCATGTTTGGATTGAGAGCAGCTGGCTGTACCCAGATTCTGGCAAGATATGGCTGGAATAAGCACTTGCAAGAACTTGCACCCTCCTGAGCATACTACTGTAAGCATCACCTCTCAGATTTTGAAAATTGACACCTCTCCCAAACTCCTTTTATCCATCTGCAGGTGGCTGGAAGATTGTATCCCCCATCCCACCAGAACTGCCCACTGTGACCCACACATCCTCCAGACTCAATGACTGCAGCTAACACCAAGGACTAAAGCCACATGACCAAAGAATGCTCCAACTTCCACTACAGTGTCAGCCTGCCTGTTTGGCTCAATGTCCCACCAAACTTCTCACACAAGGCTCTGCACTGGCCCCTTTACTGCTGGCATTTGTGATAGTTTTAGATAATACTAGTCACACTCTAGCCTGGATATTCTGAAGTCGCTGCAGGACCAAACTGAGCATTCAAAGTGTCCATCCTCCTTCAATGCTCTTTTCAAAGTAAGTGATGGATGTGTTCACCACTTGCTGCAGGAGTTTGGACTCAGGCCATTCACTGGAGATGCTTTTGGATAATGTAACTCACTGCATGCCTCACGATACAGAGTCAATGAATTCTTCCTCTGTTTACACACAGAGATATGAAGAGGTAATCAAAACACTGTGGAAGTTCATCACAACATTCTCCCTACAGGTTGAGGATCAGGGACACCAACTGAACTATTTTTAATTGTAAATGGTTTAGGAAGCACTCAGGTGTAGGTGCTTCAAGGCACTTAAGGAAGCTAAGCTTCTTTAGGAAATGGAGTTTAAGTCATACCAAGGTGCATGCTAACGTAGCTCAAAACTCTTACCTCAGCCACTACACACCAGGAAAAACCTGTTTCTAAATGCAGTATTTCATGTTCTGGGATAATGTTAATGGGAAGAAAATATCCGAAACCACACAAAGAGCTGGGCCCCAGATCCATACTGATGAGGAGTACACCGTGCCTAGGTGAGCATAGATAACAACTTTTCCTCCTTGGGTTACGTTTTGGAATTATGAAATAATGAGTTTTAAAACCCTGTATTTGTCCTTATAGTTAAAAATAATCTTTGGTAAGACATTTCATACCTCAGTAATTTTCCAGTAGGCTTTCCATTGTAGATATTTAATCCTTCATAAATAATTGTTGAATGTGATTAAGACATATTACAAGTATGTTACAAAATACTTGTGTTTGTTTCAAGGTTTGTTTTTTTTTTTTCCCCAGTGGCAGATAACATCTGCTTTACATGTGTTACACTGCTGATGTTGGTGAGGATCTGTTCTTGATGGCTGTGGAGCACTACACACTTAACCCTACTGAACAACACTGTTGAGAACAGGAACAATACAAATATGCCTCTAAAAATGCTTCAAATGTTAAGTATTTTGCTAAGCCACTAAATGCTATACTGCTAATTATCAATTTCCTAATATATAATCTCTTTCGAAAATATTTATAAATACACAATTCAAGTAAATGCTTAGTTTAGGGAGGCACGGTCTGGAAGGATACTGGGATAACACTGTAAGAAAAAGGCATACAATTTTGTTAACTTTCACTGGCATTACGCTCTCCTTCTGAAGCCTGTTGTTAGTGCTGACATCTGTGTAAGGACTATGCTTACTTATATTTCCAAGGCTGGTGTTCAAATGGTCTGCTACTGGGAAGACATGATAGGCATCTGCTCACTCAAAGGAGAAGCCCCTTGTCTGGGTGTCTGATTTTTTTCTTGCAGTATAATGCTGGTCAATTTTAAAGCATCAGAAGAGCTCTCCTGTGATGCAAGAGTAGGAAGCTGTGGCTGGAATGTAACAAACCCACAGCTACTTGATATAGATCATAATTAATATCACATAGATGATGCTTTATCAGAGATTTAATGTTCATTCATTGTAACTGCATTGTCAAATGTTTTAATCACCATCAAAGACCATCCCAAATTAGACTGTGAAATGTTATCATCAGTAAATCTTTAAGAACAGACTCAATGAAATGAACAACCCATTCCTGGCACTCTTAGTCTCCACCAGAGCAAAAGTCTCTTAAGAACCCTTGTTTCTCACTACCCAATTTGTCAACTCTTGCTGTGATATATTCCAGGGTCAGATGCAAAAAAACCTTTGTTTACACATCTAAAACACAGAAAAGAACCAGAGAATGAAAGGCATCAGGATGCCCCTCACACAAACACAGGATGAGAATCTACACTAACAGGATAAATGACGAGAACCTTGGCAAATCTGGTAATAGGGAAGTTTCATCTTAACTTCTATTGCTGTAGCTGAGTTACTGAGTGAATTCCTTAAGAGAAGAGTAAGAAATTATTCTGAGATCAAAACAGCGTGCAGTGAAATAGGGGGATGGCATATAATCTGAGATTTCATATTTTATACCAGTATTGCCTCCAGCAGTGCTAAACCCCACTGAGCAAGCAAACTCATTGGCAAAACACATCATAAACTGTAAGGCCACTTAAACTATCCCTACTCTAAGCTATTTTTGTGTCCTAGATTGGTTGGTACATTGAACAACCAAGAACTGAGATTCAGCTCATCACTCCTTAATATAAAAATAAGGGAAACGTGAGGTTTGCTGATTGATGGCCTGATTAAAAGAAATGCCAAAAATCTCACACTGAGGAAAATCAGGCCCTCATTATCTGGAGGAGGGAAAATGAAAAACAAAAACCTCATTTTCCCTTTCCTTACAATAACATTTCTTCCTTTTTTCTATATTGATGGACAAAGATATCTAACTGGAAAGCAGGAGTTCATTTTCAAACTGTATTTGATATTTTGTCATTGAATAGAATTGATATGAAGACATAGTTAGGATTTCTTTTTCCTCTCGCACTAATTTTCTTTCAACTTTTATCTTCCAAGTGGCAGCAAGCAAGATAAAAGGTGATATGGTATTACCCTCTTTGTAGAAATAAATGGAGGAAGTTATTTTTGATAACTTTATCAGCTGGGATTGGCACAAGGCCTTTAAGCGAGACTGTTTTGGATCTATCCATATTTGGACATGTCATCATTCAGACATCTCACAACTAAGTATCTGGATGACATCCACAGAAGTACTGACATAAAATGGGGAAAACCAAACCAACCACACCAAAACTGTCTCAGAAGCAGATCGCCTGTCCCCTGCAGCCAAGCACACTGCTAGTGCACGGCTCGCACAAAGCTCCTGCTCCCACAGCAACATCCAGATACACTCCTCAAAGTGAGTCAAAAGCACAGGCTGGCTCCATGAGCCATGATTTAATTAATCATGAACCCTGAACTGTTTCAATATAGGCACAGAAACAAAGAAATAAGGCTTTTCTAAGCACTCTGGAGTCATTATTATTTAAAATACACGGGGTCAGTTCGCCACAGGTCTTTATCTGCAGAGCTGTAGTGAAATCAGCTTGAAGCAAGGCTTTGATTTTTATATCAGGTTTGGGGACACAAGAATGAAAAAGACAAAAAGCTGTGATGAAATAATAACTCAGAAGATATTCCAATTACAAATTGTTAAAGGTTTTTTTAAAAAGAATAAAAAATTATCTGAAGAGTTGCATGCAGCAGACCTTTAAGAGGCTGGTTTTGGAGGAAAAGGTTTCAGGGGAAAGAAATGGGGATCTGCAATGTCCTTAAAGGACCACATCTACCAAGCTTTGTTTCTGGCACTTTCCTTTGGTGTATTTACCTCACACTTCTCCACCACGGGCTGCTGGCCGCACTCGGAGCTGTTGCCTGCCACGATGCCGGCCCGCAGGCTCTCGCTGTCGCCCGTGCCCTCTTCCATGGAGTAGGTTTTGGAGTGGTTGCCGCGGTGGTGCGCGGGGCCGCGGCCCTGGGCCAGGCTGAGCTGCTTGCGCAGCACGCGGTTCTCCTCCTCCACCTCCCGCACGCGCACCTCCAGGCTCTCGCGCTCCCGCTGGCTCGACGCCGTGTACCGGGGGCTGTGGGGCTGCGACTCCAGCGGGGACAGCGACACCGGCTTCCCATCTGCACCACAAGGAAACAGAGCACTTCTGTCAGAACACACCAGCTGCATCTTCCTTTAATGTTGGTGTTGTGAGGCAGAGATGCGCTTCAAATACAGACATGTTTTATGCAGACTTGGCACTCCCTAGCCATGCTTAAGTGCACGGTAAACTTGGACAAATGCTGAATCTACGAGCTACAGGTCCTACTAATTTTCAAACCACACCAAAAGATAAGCATGTGTTTCTTTGTTCTCATAGGGCTGCCTGCCAGTCTCTAGTCTGGGAAGACAGTCAAGAACATTAGGATTTAATTCAAGACAATATACAGTTAAATATATTTTAGAAATGTACTCAAGATGAAATAATTTTCCTATTCCCACTTCCTCCACAGTCAAATGACAGCATTTTGGCAACCATTTTGTACCAAACAGTAGCCCCAGCTGATTCACATGTGTGGAACAGATGGGTTTTACTCAGCAACATACTATTATGTGCTTGCTGAAAAATAAGAGGTTCAGGACAGAAATGTTCAATACACATGTGGACCAAATTCTGGAAAGTATTTTGGCTTAAAAAGACTCAGTGGAATTTTGAAAAAAAAAAGTAAAAAAGTTCAACTCAACACCTTCAACTAAAGGGTCTCAAAAATGTTCAATGAAAATCAAATTGAAGCAAAGCGAAAGACAGTGAGAGTTATCCACAGTGTCATAACTAGCAAGAAATTCCTTTGCAGTGATGATATGTGAGTATCTTATATAAAGTATTTCTCTGATATGACTTCCTACTTGCATGTATTAAATCACAGAATTATAGAACTGTAAGGTTGAAAAAAAACCTCTGAAGTCATTGAGTCCAACTGTTAATTCAGCACCAACATGTTCACCATTAACCACGTCCATATTCATATCCATGTTTTTTGAACACTTCCAGGGATTGTAATTTTTCCATCTGCCTGAACAGCCTATTCCAACGCCTTATCATCTTTGCCATTAGGTCATTTCTTCATAATATTCAACAAAACCTTGGCACAACTTGAAGTCATTTAATCTCATCCTGTCACTTGTCTATAAGAAGAGGACAACCCTCACCTGGCTACATTCTCCTTTAAGGCAGTTTTAGAGAGTGACAAGGTCTCCCCTGTATCTCCATTTCTCCAGGGTAAATCCCTCCAGCTCCCTCAGTTTCTCCTCCTGGGACTTGTGCTCCAGATCCTTCCTGAGCTACACAGCCCTTCTCTGGATATACCCCAGCACCTCAGTATCAGAACTGAATACAGGATTCAAGGTGTGACCTCATCAGTGCCAACTACAGGGAGATGTTTGCTATTTAATAATTTTTCCAGCACAGAGAGTCCCATTGGTTTTATCAAGCAAGTAACAACCTGAGTGGTTTATAAAATGGAAACCATGCAGTTATTGCTTAGAAGTTCTTCCTAACAAGTACATTTTTCACCTACCAACTCAAAACTATCTCCCTACTATAAAGACCTGTTCATTACATGTTCTTTTTCATTATTTCACATTTACATGAATGATGAGCAATCCTCTAAACTGACTTCATGAAAAAAACTGGTATGGAAATCAAGTCCTCAAATCAGTTCAAATTTACATTGTTGACATATACAGGTACACACACTTCCTGTTATGTATATCATAATCTTGATTTTTATCATCATTTGAATAGAATATGCTGCATTTCTTGCAGGCTATCTTGTACAAAAAATTGTAATTTATTAATTTACCATTAGCAAAGGATATGGATAAATCTGAGACTGAAAAATGACTCAAGACAAATTCTGGAGTTTGGCCACTGACATCTTGAAACTTGAATGCTCCAGCAAACAGTTATTAAAAATTTAATGAGATATTTGATAAGCCTGAAAATAATGGGTGCAGCAACAGAGAAATGTCAACATAAAGGACAGAGCCACACTAGAATTAGACATGCAATAGAATACTGAGTTATCTTTCTCCACCAAACTTGGAGGGCCTGGAACTGAAGTTGTGTTATTCCAGCTGCTGATACTCAAGCTAAGAAAACTAAGATTCATTTGGTTGTGATTCTATTGCATCCCATTACTGGAGAGCAAGAGTGTATTGTGTAGACACCCTCAAATAAAAAGAAAAACAGCACCTTTGCTCACCCACAGACAACCAACCTGTTGGTTGATACAGATACACAATTACACTGCAAATCCAGCCAAGGACTTCACTGGCTGTCTTAACTCCTCACTTGGTGAATATCCAGCTGACACAGATGTTAACTCATCGCTTTCTGTCTTTGCCACTGAATTCTGCTAGCTTCAAATAATTACCAGAAAATGTAGAAAGATAGAGAAGTGAATCTCAGAACAACATTCATAAAAATTTCAAAATATGGAAAAAAAAATTGAACAAATCTTTGCCTATTCTATGGACATAAATCAATAGATCATAAATGCTGCTTTTCCAAAATTAAAACTTTAAAAGCTTTTCTTATCTTTTAGAAAAGGATACTATTTTGAACATCTGAACAATTGTAGATATACTCATCAGAAAATTTCAACTTTTGTTCTACAAAGTTCTACTTTTCTTCAACTTTGTTTCTACACAGTATTTAGAAGAAACAGCATAGTCTGAGAAAGGGACTGAAAGGAAATATCACCTCACTGCCTCAGACTGAAGTTGCAGCAGCTAATGAGGCCAAGCCCAGTGTTTATGCAGCCTTACCTTTAAATGCCAGTAACTCCACTACTGTTCTCTCATAGCAAATATTTCTGCTGGTATGTAAAAGGAGCAAGGAAATCCTCTCAGGAATTAAACAAATAGCTAGGCTCTTCATCTGAAATGTACAACTAGTTGAAATGCACTGATTTACTACAGAAATTATCTATGTTTTATTACAAGTTGCTAAGTCCAAGACATTTTCTGGAATGATCTCTTCAGAGTTCATACACCTGGACAAGTCATGTTTTGTTACTAATGCTGCTCACTATTCTCAGGTGTATCATGTACTTCCTATATTTTCACATCCTAGCTTTCTGCTGCAAATGATAATGTGACAATTCCAGGACCCATGTGAAATAAAATTATAAAACCAAAAGTGAACACAGTTTGATCTTAATACTCAGACATAAAGTAATATTTTCAACAAATTCAGAGATTGCATAACTCATATTTTTTGCATATCTGAGGCTGGCGAGTCTTGTGGCAAGATACTATTTGATTTAGTTCTGTGTGTTTCATCTCACCTCTGAAGAAGGAGTAAGTGGATTAATGTTTGATTGTGTGTGTTGCTTGGTAGAAGAGTTAAACTGATTGCACTGCACTTGAATTTTACAGTTTATAGTAATTGGCAGAATGCTCTGAGCTGGTGTCTAGGCAGTTTTTATCTAATCTAAATCAAAATAAAGTAACGTAACACATAACGAGGTCTGTGTGACTTTGGGACTGAAGATGTCCCAGGGAGCACTACAGGGAACATTACTGTGCTCTGAAGCAAGTAGCGCACTTTTGGATGGTGTAATAAATAATAATAAAGCTATTATTTTTTATTCTTCATTTGGGGTTATTGCTCTATTTTTGAACTTTGTCAGTTTCAGATTTAATTTCTTTTTCTTTGTCAAGCCTTTTCCTTCAGACTTGTGCTAATGCAACTGTACCTACAAAGACCTGTAAAATTCCACTGTCCACAAAACAAAACCCAAACACAAAGCTGAATAATTTTATGGTTTACAGCAGTCAATGACTTATCATCACACTAGGTCCAACAATTTGGAAAACTTGACAATATGTAAGTCATTAATTCTGTGGATTATTGAATGTTTCTGCATATACAAAATCACTTGAATTTAAGGATTTTATTAATACTTACTCAAGCAGAATGCTTGGGACACTGGATAAAATAAAGCAATCAGAAAGCAATACAGCATAATTCATTGGAAAGGAGAAGGACTGAACCAGTGGCATTTTCCTTCTTACATACAGAACTTAAAGGATAGGCATTGAAACCAAGTTCCTTGTTTTGTAGTTACCAGACTTGGGAGAGGTGATAGTCCTGAAAAGGACCCAGTGTCATTGGGAAGTTGCTGAAGAAAGAGCCACGGAGAAAAAAGAACATTTATCCAAGGGTTAACTGGGTAAGGGAGAAAGAAGCAGAATGCAGGAAAAGTAAAATTTTCTGAGATTCAGAGAAGAAAAGTGCAGAAGCAGGCACCCTAGGTTTTCCAGACAACCCTGATCTGAACTAAAACGCTTACAATTGTGTTAGAAAGTGAGGCCCATAAAATTATGGAGCATGTTTTGGAAGGGTTTAAAAAAACTTTTTACATTTTGTTTACTGGAAAACACAAACTACTTGTGTTTTGGATCTTGACAAGGTCTAGAGGTTTCTATATGTTTCAGCCATTGCTCATCCCCTGCCTAATAGCCTGCAATGCCTTTAAAATGAACTAAATAATAGTAGTGAACTCTAGGCTGCTTCTTAGGTAAGAGGAAGTTATGCTGCCCAGAGACAGTGTTTCAGTCTGACTACAGATACAAGATATGCCTCCACTTCACATTTGTCAACATTTCAAAATTCACATTATCTCTGCCCACTCCAAAGACTAGGAGCAGAAGAATTTTAACCAAAAATCAGTATTTTGCAGAAAGAAATGGTATAGCAGGCATATCTCCCCTGACAAGGCCTCAAAATAATTTCAAGTTCATTGCACAATTACTTTTTCCCATATCAAGACCATTACGGAGAACTCCATGGACCCTAAGGGAAAAGAAAAGTAAGATTGCGGTCAGGACTACAGAGACATAAAAAGCCTGGTGTAAGCAGAAAAACTATCCCTTCTATTCTGGAGTTCTAGCTCAGCTTTAATCACCCGACACCTTAGTACTCCATGCACTTCTGCTCAGCTGCTCTGGTAGGTCCTGGCTATCCGGGCACCTATGAACGAAGTTCTTTCTGCTGACATTTTGGTACTTCAGATATGTGCCTCCATGAGTAGGTGCTAAGGCATCCCAAAGTGCCTATTCTCACACTTACCAA